GCGGCGGGCGTGGGCAGCAGCAGCAGGCGGGCAGTGCCGGGCAGGGTCCACTCGGAGGCCGAGAGGGTCTGGAGTTTCTTCTAAGGGTGTTCAGAAGGCCAAGGGGGAGCTGCGGCGGGCACGGGAGACCCGCCCGTTCTGACGAGTGCTGGCCACAGGGGAAGGAGGGAACGACGGCCCAGGGCAGCGCCCAGCGGGCGGTCACAGGCCTGGGTAGGGTGCTCTCTGTGGAGCCGGCGCACCCAAAGGTGCGGGTGGACGGGGTGGCGGGTGAGGGCACAGCTCGGCACCCAAAGGTGCGGCGTGCCTCGGAGGAGACAGCACGGAAGGCAGAGGAGTCGGAAGACGGGCACTGCAGAAATATCCCGGTGGGGGAGAACAGATGGAGCGGGTGAGGCTGCAGGCAGACACCGGGAAGCACCTCGGCGGGAGACAGACAGGCCTGGACGGTGAGGGGGGAAGAGGGGCCGCCCCAAACAGCACCCCTGTGCCTCCAGCGCTTGGTTCCACGAGCCGCGGAGCAGCGGCACTGCGGGGAGCTCGAACAGGACCTCCGCAGCCCGCGGCCGGTGGCGCCCCGCGGCGGGGACGAAGTGTCCGATGCCACAGTCACACGTGACCGGGGAGGCCGCCGGCTGCAAGGCACTGGGGCCCATCAGCACCCGCCACCTGCCTGACACCGGAGAAGGGTGTCTGGCCCCGACGCCAGCCCGCCTTGGGCTGGGCTTCCTCAAGCGCTGGCCACCACAGCTGGCCTTAGAAACAGAGCAGGGCGGGTCAGGAATCCAGGTTTTCCTTTTGCAAAAGCAATTCAGAGTCCCTCACACGACCTGCCTTTGCCAGGCTGGGCCCGGACGCCAGGCAGGGAGGGCGCCGCCCCGGCTCGCAGCTCCCAACACCAACCCCGGGCGGCAGGTGGCGACAGGAGGCCCACCAGAGCTGAGGCGGAAGAAGAACGGCCGCGTCTTCGGGGAATCCCACCGGGCACCCGGTCGCTCCAGACGCCGCTCGAGGGCAGAGTGAGGCGGGGAGCAGGGACGCGGCCATCACCCGGCGCCCGCAGAAGCAGGAAGGCCGGCTCTGCACGCTGGGCCTTCTCGTCACGGGACGGCGGGCGTCGGCCGAGGAGTAGAGGGGGCGGGAAGAGAGCAGGCCCGGAAAGGGGGGTACTCTACTCTCCACCAGAGAGAGGGGGTCCTGGCCAGCCGCCTTTGCAAACATGGTTAAAGCCAACGTTCAGAGCACACAGACCTTTCAGAGTCGGGACGGCTTACCTCCATTGGTCTCCTGATACACCACAGACTTCCCCAATTCAGCACCAAGACGCCTACGGGGGAAAGGCGATTCAGAATGCTTCAAAATGCCAAAACTCCAGTCCTTTAGCCCATGTTTAACAGAAAGACCATCATGAAGAATGAAAAACCTGCTGTCCTGCACAGGAGTTGAAGTGGACACCACAGGGCCATGTTTCCCTGTGGGAAAGGGTCCCCGCCCACGTCTGCAGTCCGGTTCCCCTCTGAATGCCCGTTGTCTAGGGAAACCGTCCGCAACCCATTCTCGGCTCCAGAGGGCTACCCAGGGCCACGGCCAGCGCTGGGGCCTCGGGGCGGAGCCCTGGGCTGGAGGATGGAGGCGTCTACCTGGCCGCACTCTGCTCAGAACACAGGCAGCAGAACCACTCTGTGACAACGGGGCGACGCGTCCCCCGTTCTGTGTGGTCGAGGGGAGGAGCGCACCGCCTTCGGCAAGGGCGGATCTAGCTTAAACCGCTGCAGCCGGAAACTCTGCGAAGCCTTTACTCTAGGCAGGACAAGTCAAAAACAAAGGAGCAGACCTTGCAGTTCCACACCAGCAGGCACTAGGATAGGCAAACTCACCCCGCAAGGTACAATAAAGGATGGAGGGGGTTACGGCTGGGGCTGGGGGGTGAGTAATCCGCATGTAATGGGTGTGGGCTTTGTGTTGAGAGTTCTGGAAATTCTGAAAAAGTTCTGGAACTGGAAAGCTACAGAATGCCACACTACACGCCACCAAACTGCATTTAAAAACGTTTAAAATGGGGCTCCCTGCTGGCAGCGCGAGTCACAGCGAAGCACTGCAGCTGGCCGCTGCCCTTCAGTGTGACCCCAGGGCGCGGCAGACCTCTCCTGCCCCGCCGCGGCTCCCCTCAGCAGTGGACTTCATCCAGCTGCCTGTTCTGCTCCCCACTCTGGCTCTGGTGAACCCTCTCACCGTGCCTGTACCCCAGGTCTGTATGTATAAATAAATCTTAAAAAAAAAAAAAAAGTACTCCAGCCCCAGAAAATGAGGGACAGGTGACTCAGATAAAACCAGACTAACAGAGTGGGGGTGCCTGGGGGTCATTAATACAGACATGTGGCTTGTGCAATGCACCTAAGTCTTCACCGACTCAGTGCACCCAAAAAAGCTCGCGAATCCCTGCTTGAAGCGCGAAGGAAAACAGCACTACTTCAAGGGTGTCCGACCTGGTCATCTTCAAACTCGGGCAGTGGTAAAGCCCTTTTTCTAAACAAAACCTTCCTGAGAAGCCAAATAAGAGGAGTAGCTGTAAGCGTCATTATTTACAGTAACTTAAGACCTTCTGGAACAGGCAGGACCAAGCGCAGAAACACAAGGGGAAGCCAGGTCGCTGCGTCCTCGCCCCCGCGAGGTCGCTGCTGGCAAACCCAAGATAAACGCGGCCCCATGGCTAAAGCTGGCATTTCAGCTGGGCCCCCCTAAAGCTGGCATTTCAGCTGGGCTCCGAGAGGGCAGAAAGGCGGGTTAGAAACAGGCCCGCGCAGGAGACGGGAAGGCTGGATTTACACCCTCCCGCTGCTCTTATACTCGAGCTGAAGACGGGCACACTGTGACTGAGGGGTCCCCTGTAGGCACGTTTCCGACAGAATGTTAACTGCGCCCCCCATTACTTACAGCTCCAAAAACGTCCAAGCAGGGCACCCCCGCCGGCCCCACACTGTTTCAAGGGTGAAAATGGTTTTAAGCTAAGACCAGCCAGCAGCTTCACCTCCGGTATCTGTGCCCCTTCCTCACAACACCCCAGGGCTCCCCCACTCTCCATCAGCCCAGGCCCAGGCCCAAGCGCAGGCTTCCTCAGCCTAGGGGGGCCACCTGGCCTCAAGGGGCCCGCGGAGGGCGCCACCTGCCTTCCCACTGCCTGCGCCAGGTCCAGGGGCTCCTGGCCAGGCCCCGGCCTGCCCGCGGGGCCTCTCCTCACCTAGCAGGCGGGAAGCGCGGGGACCCCAGGCAGAGGCCAGCGCCAGCGCCAGCGACCGTGGGGCAGCGGCCGGAGCCCCTCTCCCAGGGGCCCATGGGCCATCCATTCCACCCTCAGCACCCGCCTGGAGGTGGTTGGGGGGTCCCAGTACGGGGTGGGGAGGGGCCCAAAGAACAGAGGGGGGTGCTCAAGGAACAGAGTGGGGAGGGAGTCCAAGCACCCCGGAGAGGGGGGTCGAGGGGCGCGCGGAGGGGGGTCCACGGCGCCGGGAGGGGGCGCCCACGGCACCGAGGGGTGGGGGCGCTCCCAGCCGCACATC